GTCTGGGTGGTTAAAATGATCTGCGAAAAAATATACTTATTATAATTTATAATAATACGGATCTTCAGGAATGGACAGAAATACTGTTGTAGCAAATTGAAAAAAGCTCATTATATAATAAATGCGTATAATACTCGTACAATAGCTATCAGAATGAAAACGAATTTATAGCGTTAGCTGTGAGCACTGTCTCTACGTTTGAACGAAATACGAATATTATCTTCTGCGTCGTTAACTACAACAGTTCAATTCAGATATTTTACATTTTTATCAATATCATCATTCCGGTTTTTGACAGAATTTCGATCGCCAATAGATTATTATCATATTACGGATGTATTTTTTTCTTTGTTTATAGGTAACTGAACTCACAGCTAAATGACACGAAATGGTGAGAAGAGTACACGTATATTAATGTATGTTGAATACGTATTATTATTTTTGACAGAAAAATTATAGCATTTAATCTAAATCTATACCGGTTGGTTGGATAAATTGTACGCACTATACTGCGAATGTACATTATTTTTACCCTACGGTTAGCTTACTTATTAAATTTGTTAATGTTTTTGTTACTGTTAATAATTATAAAATTAAATACTTAATTTTGGTACATAAAACATTAACATCAGCGAAATATAAACACAGGAAGAGGATAAAAAAAGTTATTATCGTATACGTTGGTGATGTTGTATCCACATTTGATATTAGATTATTTAAAAACTTTATCAATTATTAGCTGCTAAATAATAATAATAATAATAAAAAAAGCTTGATCTATAATAAAAACACTTTAAAAATTAATTTCATAATGGTCATCTATTATCAGCGTGACAGTGTACAATATAAAGATATGAAAAAGGTTAAAAAATTKCACGGATGATTAATTGAATGCATGAAATTCAGAATAAATAGGTACACACTATTGAATCAGATTCTGAAAGCCAAACATAATCCGCATTTAAATCTTTAAACTCGCAATATCTACATTATTATTATATTATCACAAATCGACTGGTTTTCGTTTATTCCAAACATGATGTTAATAGTTGAGTGTTATAGTGTTTAGTGTTAGGTAAAAGCGTTATAAAGTGTTTAATATGACGACCTAAGTAAATTTACAGATACCAAAAGTTCTCAGGTTAAGATAATAACTATGCAGACCTAATGATATATTTATAATGTATATTGTATGTATTATAAAGCACGCGGATACAATTTTCGTCGGGGTCATTTGCATTTTGATGAGTTTCACGGTGTAAGATTATCATAAATTTGGACGGTAATATCCCATTCATTTGACTACAGTATTTCTTAAATTTA